TTCCTTCCTTCCTTCCTTCCTTCCTTCCTTCCTTCCTTCCTTCCTTCCTTCCTTCCTTCCTTTCTGTCTTTCTGTCTTTCTGTCTTTTCTTTCTTTCGGAATCTTTCTCTGTCTCCCAGGCTAGAGTGCAGTGGCACATTCTCAGCTCATTGCAACCTCTGCCTCCCAGGTTCAAACAATTCTTCTTCCTCAGCCTCCCAAGTAGCTGGGATTACAGGTGAGCACCACCATGCCCAGATAATTTTTGTATTTTTTGTAGAGACAGGATTTCCACATGTTGGCCAGACTGGTCTAGAACTCTTGACCTCAAATAATCCACCCACCTTGGCCTCCCAAAGTGCTGGGATTATAGGAGTCAGCCATCATGCCCAGCCTTGTTCCTTCTTTTCTATGGCTACACCTTGGTTGGGCATTTAAGAATATACACCTCCTGAGAACTCTAAAGCATTTATAGGAGTCAAACGTGCAAATGAAATGCGCAAACTGCTCTACCTTGGAAATGCAAATAACTTTAGGAGAGACAGAAGGGAAAAGGAGAAGAAAATTAACGGAGTAAAGGAGTGGAGTGAGTGAGAACGTTGATAACAGGACTGCCTGATATTCATGTTGAGTGATGTCTTTTGCCGGTGCATCAGGGAAGTATGTTACACAATACAGAATTAACAACTTCTGAGTGTTTATGTGCAGAAAGCAAGGTAAAAGGCTGAGTTATGAGTTATTTATTTAAATATGAAGTCATTAGGCAATAATTAGCCAGAGTAGTTTACTTAAGCAGAAGCTCAAAATCAGCAGTGTTCATGAAAATGTAAGCCAGCTTGGAATTTACAAATATTGTGGACATGAGGATGGGAATTTCCTAGACCTGACCTGATTCATATTATGAGGACTGAAGATAATTTTGACTGGACATTAAGTGATATTATTGTTTATTAATGAGGTAAACATTTATTGAGTGTCTATCACGTATCAGACACTATCTTATATGCAGGGGATTGGGATTCATCAGCAAACAATATAGACCAAAATTCCTGCCCTCAGATAGCTTACATTCTCATTACTTGAAAGAAACATATCAACTACCATACAGTTATTATACTGTTTCATGCCAACAAGTGAAATCACATTTGCAAAAATTTTGACAGTGAGAGATGTCTAACGTGGCTGACTCCTTCCTGCCTCTAGCCTCAAAGGTTGTCTGTCTTTGCTCACTCCTGTATATAGGCTAAGATAACCAGGGGAAGAATTTAGTTTATGGTTTAACATGGAAGCAAGGATGATAGTAGGCCTTCCCTAACTCACACCCTCCTTGTTCTGGGACTGAAAGGCAATGAAAGGCTTAAGATTAGGATTGTATGAGGAGTCTGAATTCTGCTAAAATGTAGGATTATAGTTTCTATAATCCTTTACTGCCAGGTGTCATGTGGCCGGTGACACCTGGGCAGTAAAGGCCAAGATTTGTAACTTCCCCAATCACTTCTATAGGTGACACCTCTATTGTAGACCCTAGGATTAGTCTTTTGAGATGTTTTTCAGACTTTCATTCTAGCAACTGACTGACCCCACAGGGAGCTCATGACTCATGACTCAAGTGGTCCTGTGACCCCCTCACTCCAAGGCAGACTCAGTGCATGAGGATCACTTTCAACTCTCCTATGGTTGCCTTCTCAACCAGTCAGCAGCACCCATTCCCTAGTCCCCTGCCCACCAAACTATCTTTGAAAAACCATAACCTCTCAGCCTTCAGGGAAACTGATTTGAATGATAACTCCAGTTCATCCATGTGGCCAGCATCATGTTAATTAAACTCTTTCTTTACTGCAATACCACAGTCTCAGTAAACTGGTTTTGTCTGTGCAGCAGGCAGGAAGAACCCACTGGGTGATTACATAAGTTTGGTAGTTGGGATGAAATGGCCAAATTTCTTGAATTTGAAAATCACAGTCTACCAAAAGTGAGCAATGTGAAAAAGAAAATGGCCAGGTCTAATAATTATTAAAGAAATTGAACCTATATTTAAAAGCCTTCCCAAAAAATAAACCCAAGATCCAGTTGACTTTAGCAAATTTTTCTAAATGTTTAAAAAAGATATAATACCTGAGGATAGAATTAGAAAATTGCTTCCAAACTCCTTTCAGGAAAATGTACATTTTATGTAAAAGTTAACAAGGACAGTAGAGAAAAGTGAAATAACAGAGCTATCTCTACATAAACATAAATACAGAAATTCTAAACAAATCTGTGACACAGATTATAAATGTTCAAAAATCATGGGCAAGCGTGGTTTATTTCAGAAATGCAAGGGTAGTTTAACATTGAAAACATAATCTAATTTATAATATGTAAATAAAAGAATAAAAGTAATATGATCTTGTTAATATTTACAGAAACCGCATTTAATAAAGTTCAATATTCATTCACAATTTAAACAATAAAAGAAAACTCTTAACAAATAAGAATAGAAGAAACCTTCTACAGTCTGACTTTAAAAAGAGAAAGCCCGAGGAAGCTTATGGCAAACATTTTACTTAATGGTAGATAAAGTTTTTTTCTAAAAAAACACTATCTCATCTAAGCCTTACAAATCCCCCCACTTTGTCTCTTCTCTTGTACTCTTTTCCCACTTCCACTTAGTCTCAGGATATAGGCTGAGGTCCAGACGTGAAAAATAACACCCACAGTAGCCTCATTATCTACTTCTTACCCTCAAATCAGGGAGGGCACTGAAGTATTTTCCCTGAGGAAATACTTGAGCCACTCATCCTGTAATGACTCAATGTGACCAAGGTTAAATGAAGTTAGGACTGAGATTAGGGTATCTGGTATTAAGATGTATGTTGGTTTTAGCCCATGGTTTCTGCTTCATAACTCCCATATCCCTTGCTACAGTCCTTTGTTATAATGTTGGGTGGGTTAAGCCTGAGGAAACAAAATCTCTCTCCTTTCCTTTCATCTACCCCAAAGCAGGACTCTAATCTTCCCTCACCTTTCTAATTGTGGGTCTTAAGACCCTCCCCAGGGAGGGTCCCATCCTGTACACTGGAGGAAAGAATGCTGACATCATGAAGCTTCCATAAAAACCCAAGAGGACTGGATTTGGAGAGCTTCGTGAGAGGTGAACACGCAGAGGTTCCCGGAGGATGATGCACTTAGGAAGGGCATGGAACCTGCTCATTTCTTCCTGCATACCTTGCCCTATGCGCCTCTTCATCTGTATCCTTTGTAGTATCTTTTATAATAAACCAGCAAGCCAAAATAAATGTTCGCTGAGTTCTATGAGCCACTCTAGCAATTAAATTATTTCTCTGAGTTCCATGAGCCACTCTACCCCAAAGAGGGGGTAGTGGGAACCCTGATTGAAGCTGGTTGGTCCAGAGTTTCAGAAGTCTGGATTTGTGACTTGTGTCTCAACTGGAGGAGCAGACTTGGGGAATGAGCCTTAAACCTGTGGGATCTGACACTAACTCCAGGTAGATAGTGTTGGAATTTAATTGTACGACACCCAGATGGTGTCTACTGCTTGGTTGTGGGGAAAACCTCCTACACGTTTGGTACAGACTTCTTTTATGTTGATGATTGTGGTGGTGGTGGTATGAATGTAGAAAAAAAACACTGTCAGAATTTTTTTTCCGCTTAATGCAGGGTAGAAAGAGAGCCCCAAAATATCCCCGACCTCACATTGCTTGTAACTCCCTCTCCTCAGGAGGTGAAGCGGAATTGGTGTCTGTGTTGCTGGTCTGGGTTGAGTCAGGGACCTCAGTCAGGGCCCTCTCCAAACTAGTGGGCAAGGAGCGAATCAGTCTTTCTTGGAAGTTATGACCCATGAAGACGTAGAGAACTGGGTTGAGGCAGCTGTTAAAAAAGGCCAGGGAGCTTGTTGGGTAAAGCAGGACAATAATGATTTTGTATTTGCCATTGAACAAAATCTCTTTGAGCCAGACTGCCATTAGAATGCCAGTTAGTTCATAAGGGAACCAACAGATGAAGAAAGAAGCCACCACAGCAGTGAAGACGTGTAAGGGACGGCTGGATTTAGTCATGCGCTTTTTGTGAATTTTGGCAACGATGATCCCATAGCAGACTGTGATGATGGACATGGGTATGCTGAAGCCAATAATGAAGTGGAGGATCAGAGAGACCTTGGCCATGGTAATGAACACGTTCATCCTCTCTACAACAGTGTCACCCCAGAATGGAAATCTGAAAATACAGTGTGTGTCCCCATTCTCAGTACTTACTGTAGTCCAGAAGATGAAATTTGGTAAGGTAAGGACTATGGCAAGAACCCAGAGTCCCATGATCACCCTCTTGGCCAGACTCAAGGTGCGATGGTTCTGGGCCCAGGCTGGATGCAGGACACAAATACAGCGGTCCAGAGCAATGACAGTGATTAGGTAGACACTGACAAACAGGTTGATGTCTATCATGACATGAACTAACTTACATAGGAACAAGCCAAAAGGCCATTTTTCTCTCATGGCGACTGAGACCATTCGGAATGGTAGGATGGCACTGAAAGAGAAGTCAGCTAGGGCCAGGTTCAGGTAACAGATGGTGCTGACTGTGCGTGTCATCCGGAATCCAGCCACCCAGATCACGAGCCCGTTGCCCAGCACTCCGAAGACAAAGGTGACTCCGTGGACTAGCAATGAGAAGATCCACAGAACGGTGTAGCCAGCAGGCTCAGGGAGCACCTCCTCAGATTCATTCAGAGGAATGGAGAAGTCGCTTTCCATCTTCCCACACCTGTAACATTTCAGCAATGGCCATTTCTCAGCTGTGGCACCATCTTACAGTACAACTATTCATTAACTTCCACTATAGCTCCTCCTCCTACCAAGACCCGCCCTAGTGAGCCTTGTGAATAGTTATAACACAAAATTGGCACTCTCTCAGAGTTCCTTTGGGAAAGGATAGTTCTCCATATCCCCATCATTATTAATATGCATTCCATCTATCAGGCTGATTAGCAAGAGGATTAAAGGGCTCTGTCCACCAGCAGAAATACTGAACTGAGAGTGTATGGACAATGGAAAATTGAGCATAGGCAGCTTCAGCGTCGTGAGGAAGGCACAAGACTCAGAGTCAGAAGGTTCACATCTGTGGCCTCTTTATCACTCAATGCAAACATGCTGGCAAGCTCTGCAACTTCTTTCGGCCCCATGCTCTCCCAGTCTCCCAGCTCCTGTCCCTCCCACTGTGAGGACCCTTTACCTATTTTTTAGTTGATATTTAATTTAAAGTTTTAGGATTTGGGTTGAGTTCATAGCTGAAGAGGATTTGGAACCATTACCTGTAATATGTAGACATATATTACGTGTTATAGGCCGGGCGTGGTGACTCATGCCTGTAACCCCAGCACTTTAGGAGGTTGAGGAGGATGGATTACTTGAGGTCAGGAGTTGGAGACTAGCCTGGCCAACATGGTGAAACTCCATCTCTACTAAAAATACAAAACTTAGCCAGGTGTGGTGGCGAGAGCCTGTAACTCCAACTACTTAGGAGGCTGAGGCAGGAGAATTGCTTGAACCCAGGAGGCGGAGGTTGCAGTGAACCAAGATCATGCCATTGCACTTCAGACTGGGTGTCAGAGCGAGACTCCGTCCCCCTGCCCCCCACCAAAAAAAAAAAAAAAAAAACAACAGAAATATATTACATCCTATAGATTCTATGCTAGAGGAAGTCAACAAAGGGGACCCTATATTTACTTTCTCCCTTCTGCTTTTCATTGTCCCTACTTGATATAAAGTTCTCTGTTTGGGATGCAGTGAATTAGCATTCGTTGTATATCTTCAAGGTCTGTGGGATAAACAGAATGAGCATGAATATTTAGCTAATATTTGTAGAGTTCTTATCAGAGACTATTCTCTGTGTTAATTGCTATGTATGGGTTGTAGTTTGGTCTACATAATAGCTCTGTAATATTCATTGTTTGTAGTTTCCATAGGAATGACTCAATGTTGAGAGCAATTGTGAAATCTGCTGGTCACTTAAGTAGGAAACAGTAGACAAAGATCTTTAATTTAGCTTAGTCTGAATTCTAAGCCCTTTCTCTATGCAACAATTTTGACAGATATTGCTGGTGGTGCCCCTCCCCCACAAATAACTGTTCATCATTTCTTCTCTGCAAATCAAATCGCAATTTTATTCAGTTACTCACTCTTTGGGGAAGGTATCCCTCCTCCGTCTTTGCGGGCATATCTTGATTTTCTAATTTGTTCTAACTAGAATTACTTTTGCGTTGCAAGCGATTGCTTATTGGTGGACACATGACTAAATTCTGGGCAATAACACTATGGGAAGATATCCTGGTGTGTTTCTGGGATCTATTTCCTTGCTTTTAAGAAACAGAATCACAAAATTACAGTCCCTGTCTCTGCACCAGGTCACATGGGAAGTTGTTGCATCCAACTCAACCCAAAGGTCTCTGTGTCCCTTGTGTCTTTGCCACTTGACCAAATTTGCTTATACTGTGGTCTGTGGGCTTTATCAGAAACATCCAAGGTATTTGTTAAAGTGCATATTCACGAACCCCACTCTAGAATCTCTCTGTGTAAAAGCTACAGTGATTTTTATGGCCATGAAAATTAGAGACTCTTCCCACCCTGGGCTATCCAGCCTCTCTAAAAGTAACAGCAATTATCTAGCACTTGTTCTCATCTAATACTCATAGTAACATTGTGGGCAGCCATCATTACCCCCCTTTTTTTTTTTACCAGAGGGAATTCATGCCCTACAGGTTTTTTTAGATTTTTCAGCATCATGTCCAGCCGGTCAGTGGAGGCAGCAAGATTTGAAATTCAGGATGAACAACTTTAGAGCCACTACCTTTGCAACTCTAAAGTGCTGCATTTGAAAGAAGTTCCCCAAAGATTTCCAGCATATGGTCATACCCTAGTATCATGGTTTTTTCCTCCTTTCCCTTTCTCTCTTCCTTCTTTTCTTCCTGTCATTACCAGTCACATTCACTGAGGTCTTTCATGGGACATTGTTTAATGCAGCTCCAGGTTTCTCAACCTTGACACTACTGACAATTGGGACTGCATAATTCTTTGTTGTGGGGGACTGTTCTGTACACAGTAGAATATTTAGCAGCACCCCTGGCCTCTATCCACTGATGCTAGTAGCAACTCCCCCTTCAGGAGTGACAACTGAAAGTGTCTGTAGACATTGTCAAAGGTACCGTAGGAGGCAAAATTCCCCCTAGTTGCACATCACTGTTACAGAGTAAAGAGCCCTGGGCTTTGGGGTCAGTTAGATCTCTACTCTTTGGTACCTTGCCAATATGGGTTCTTGGTCAGTGACATCTCTTTGAGCCTCAGTTTTCTCCTCTGCAGAACAAGGACAATTTTGTGGTGAAGTCTAACTTTTCAGGTGAGGATTAAGTGAGACTGGACATGGAAATCTAGGCTAGACTGAATGTCTGTGACAAATGGGAACTCTTGGTCCTCACCAGACTGTGTGCTGTGTCATGGGGCTCAATCCTGGGTCATGCCTTACAGAGCTTAAGGTCAGGACAAGAACAATGCTCATAGCAATAGTGGCTACTACTTATGAACATTACTCACATGCCAAGAGCTTCTCCTTTAACCCTAACAATGCCTCTCACAGCCTCTACAGATGAGATGTGTTAATATGTGTAAGCACTGAACACACCCTGAGACATGGTGCATATTGACTAATCTTAGTTTGAATTAGTATAATCATTGCACAGATGAGGAAGTTGACTTATATTGGTTACATTAATTATTTAAAGCCCCCGGTCAGAAAGGGGTAGAACCAGAGTTGGAGCTCAACCAGACTGATTTCAACAGAATTGTATGGTTAACCCTCTCCCATTCCCTAGTTCCTCAACAGACTCAGATTTTCTCCACCCACTCTCCAAATATCCTAGAAGACATTCAGACAGTATGATGTATCAATATTCTCTAAGTCATTTGGAAATGTTGACACAAGAGGAAAAGATGAATGTGCAGTGACAGGTGGGGGCAGGCCAACAAGACAATGTTGTAAAATTTTGGATCCACCCTAGTTATAAAGTGGGGAAGAGAACCATGGACTAGAGATGACACCTGTACTGATTATGAGGGCTGCTATTTGATGCAATCCCAATGTGTGTCAACCAATGTATATTTTATTATTTCTATATCCTTGCTTTGGGACAAATACCGTTCTTGTGTAATCCATAGGAAACCATGGCTCAGAGAGGGGAAGTGACTTGTTCAATGTCACAGTTATTGAGAGGCTCAAATGGATGTATGATTACAGATTTCAAATGGAAACTCAGCACTTCCTTGTTAGCATCTGCTTCTCCAGCACATATGATTTCTGATACATTAAAATAACATTCAGCCCTTCTGCTTTCTCCTCAAACTGACCAACTTCCTCTACAATTCCACTCTCAGCTGATGGCCTTGGCTGATATTTTAATGAGAAAATGGTAACAATTAGATGTGCATTTTTTAGCCTTTTCTTTCCTAATCCTCAATTTACCTGCCCTTGTTATTGTGAATAAATACTTCTTCTTTTTCCCAGTGACTTTCCTCTTCACATTTGCTTTCCATCCCTCTCTCTCTCGTTTCCCCAAGAACTGGTATTTGTCCTTCTGCTTTCTGCTAAAAAGAAACTCTCAAGATTTTATTTCGACTAGATACTTCTTGTTACCACATAAACACTATCCTATTCCTTCCGTTTAAAAAGAAACCAATCTTGGCCCCTATTTCTTTCCAAACTTCAACCCTATTTCTTTAAGAGAAGTGTTTTCTGTAAAGAGATTTCCTAGCTAAACCTTAGAAATTGTTGTCTCTAATTGCTTGCTTTTTTTTTTTTCTCACCTCACCTATTCTGCTGAATCCATTCCATATTGACTTTACTCCTTAGCACTCCAGCTAATGCACTCTCCTAAGGATGCACATGACCTCCAGACTGCCAAATCCAGTGGATCTTTCTCAGTTTTTATCCTGATGTTCCAGTGACATAGGAATGACTGGATCTCTTTCCCCTAATTCAAGCATATTTTTTTCCATATCATAAGATGATAAATGTACACACAATCTACTCTGGGTTGTCTTTACGGCTCAGTTGGCCACCTCTTTTCAGTCCACTTTACTGGTGTTTTCTGCTCTGAATGTCTCTAAATTTAGGGTGTCCCACATTCTATAGGTGATATCATTCAGTATCACAGCTTAAAGTATCATGCTGTCTTCTCATCTGAATTGTTAGCACTGGCCTCCCCTGGGGCTCTAGTCTCATATAATCAATTGACTTCTTGATATCGCCCCATGAGAGTCCCATAGACACTCCAAACCAAACATTGCCCAAACCAACCGGTTGTTTGTCCCTTGCTCCCAAACCTGCCGTTCTTCCAATATTCTGTATCTATTTGGAGTTTAAATATTCAGTTATTAAAGCTCTAAATCTAGAATTCACCTTTCGTTTTCCTTACCAGCCAATACAATCCAAGTCCTATTGATTATATCTGCAGAACATGCTGAATGCACAGCCAGAGCCATCTCCATCTCCACTACCCATGTCCATGACCCTGTTAGACTTGGATATTTGTACAAACTTTGCAGATAGCTTGTTCCTGGCCCTGCTGTTCCCTCTCCTAAAGCCCAGACACAGACAAATTGTATTTTAATAGGAAAAATAAGACAATGAGTTATTCTTCTCAGCACTCTTCTATGGCTTCCACATTTCTAACTCACACTTCTCAAGCACCCTGGGATTTATCTTGTGTATCCCCAGACCTCATCTCTGCCCTCTCACCTGACACACTGTGCTGGACCCATGGTGGACTCCTTGATTCCTTGACTATGCCAGCTTCTTGCTATTTCAGGGCTTTTGCTTTCTCTCTTCCTTCTGCCTACTATGATCTTCCTCTGGAGCTTTCCACACCTGGCTCTTTCTGAATATTTATATTTTAGCTTAAATAGCTTGTCCTCAGAGATATCCTCTTGACCCATTTGCAAAACGGCTGCCCCAGGTCCAACCTATCTCACCAGATGCTTTTCATCTTTGTTCATTCATTTATTTTCTATCCTAAATACTTTCTGCATTGATATACAAACTCCACAAGTAGCACCTTCTTTCAGTGCTATGTCTCTAGCATAGCACTGTCCAATAGAAACATAATGTGATCTGTAAATATGGGCCACATTTGTGTCTTATAACTTTCAAGTAACCATGTGTAAACAGAGTAGGAAACATTTGGGAAATTAACACCAATAATATATTTTCTTGAATCCTACATATCAGAAAGGATATCATTGGAACATTAAATCAGAATAAAAATTATTAATGAGATAAATGGCATTCTTTTTTCATACTGAGCCTTAGAAGACATGAAATGCATTTTATACTTATAGCACACTTAAGGTTAAATGAGAAAAACAGCAAGCACTCAAAAGCTGTATTTGGCAAGTGATACTTCATTGCACAGCCCTGCTCCAGAGTTTAGGAAATGTCTGTCATAGAGCAGGCATTCCAACAATAATTTTTAAGTTGCCAGACCCCAACTTACCACCAGCTGAGTTCCTTTTCTTGTGGCCAGTTCCTGACTTCCTGTCGAGCAACACAAGCTCCAAGGATTTGTCAAAAGACAAAATTACAACTAATTTAGTGTAAAGTTTTTATTGACTTTATTTGTAATTCTAGAATCAACACCTCATCCCTCAAAATAGAATGCATGTGTTGATGAGTAGAACAGAGAAGTTTGATTTTATTGGGAGAGGAGGGCTAAAGAAAGCAGAAACAAAGAAAAAAAAATGCTGAATGGTAATTTCAAAGTTGCTTTTTCTGTACAGTGGGAATAGGGAAACAATAATTTAAGAAAAAAAAAAACAAAAAACAAAAACCAGATTGACTGACATGGTTACTTAGGTTACTTCTTTTGTGAGGATTAAAGCAGAGGCATTTTCATGGCTGCTAAAAGTGACCTGTTTGGGAATTTGGCTATCTTCTCTCTCCCTTTTTGTGATTTCTTAGAAAGCCAGATAAACAACTTAATTTTTAGTTTGGTGCCATAGAACTTTAGTATGAGTGACTCTATTTTGGTTTTGTTTGTTGAGTGTAGTACAGTAGCTCAGTTTAAGCCAATGGTGTCCTGTGATTTTTACATAATAGGCTTCAGCAGAGACTTGCTGAAGGACAAGGGGACAATGGAGCTGGAATCAATCCAGTGACAGAAACTCAGAGTTTCTTACCATTCCCAGAAGACACCTTGGAGATGTCATCAAACTACTCATCTTAGAAACCTATGTGTCTGAATGTTCCTTCACCTCTAACCTTCTGTGGGAGACTGGAGTTCATCCCTCCAAATAACAAGGGTCAAGGAATATGAGAGTCCAGGCCCTTTCTTCTTCTTCTTCAGAGATTCAGGAAAATGAAAGAAACAATTACCAAGGTGAAAAAATGAGAGGAAAACAATAAACAACAAAGATGCATGATTAAGCAAAAACTCACTTCTCTATTTACACATATACTTCTAACAGCATATGTGTGGGCTTTTTTTCCAAACAAAGCAGTTCTTCAATTCTCTGGAGACACCACTGTCTATCCTACAATTAAATTCAGTTCTGATGCTGTCTAACTGGAGCCAGCGTCAGATCACGCAAGTTAAAGCACTCACTCCCACAAGACTGTCTTCACTTCAGACACCAATCCAAGTCCCACGTGGCCACCTGTAGTTCTGACTGATGGGTTATAAATCAGGGGTTCCTGTGACCCCCCTCATCAGGTTTGGTAATTTGCTAGAATGGCACACAGAACACAATAAATCACTTTGCTTTCATTTACTGGTTTATTCTAAAGAGTACAGCTTAGGCCAGGCATGGTGGTTCACGCCAGCAATCCCAGCACTTTGAGAGTCTGAGGCTGGTGGATCACTTGAGGCCAGGCTTTGGAGACTAGTCTGGCCAATGCGGCAAAACCCTGTCTCTACTAAAAATACAGAAATTAACCGGGTGTGGTGGCATATGCCAGTAATTTCAGCTACTGAGAAGGCTGAGGCACGAGAATCATTTGAACCCAGGAAGAAGAGGTTGTAGTCAGCCGAGATCATGCCACTGTACTCCAAGCCTGGGCAACAGAGTGAGACTTTGTATCAAACAAAAAGGAGAAAAGAATACAGCTCAAAAACAGTCAAAATAGATGCACAGGGCAAGTATATAGCAAGGGAGAGGTTGGGGTGGTACATGGAACTTCCATGCTCTCTCTTCAGGCACTCACCCTTCTGGCACCTCTATGTGTTCACCAACTCAAGACGCTCATCTAATCTCATTTTTCAAGAGGGTTTTTTTTTTTTTTTTTTTTTTTTTTTGATAGGATCTCACTCTCTTCCCCAGTCTGGGTTTCAGTGGTACAGTCACAGCTCACTGCAGTCTCAAACTCGTGGGCTCAAGTGATCCTCCCACCTCAGCCTCCTGAGCTGCTGGGACTGTAGGTACGTGGAACCATGCCTGGCTAATTTCTTTTCTTTTTTTTTGAGACAAGGTCTCATTCTGTCACCCAGGCTGGAGTCTAGTTGCATGATCTCTGCTCCCTGCAACCTCCACTTCCCTGGGCTCAAGGGATTCTCCAGCCTCAGCTTCCTGAATAGTGAGGACTACAGGCGTGAGATAACCATGCCCAACTACTTTTTTGTATTTTTTTGTACAAACAGGGTTTCACTGTGTTGCCCAGACTGGTCTCAAACTCCTGGGCTTAAAGTGATCTGCCCGCCTTAGCCTCACAAAGGGCTAGGATGTCAAGTGTGAGCCACCGTGCCTGGTCTCTAACTTTTTTTTTTTTTTTTTTTTTGACAGAGTCTCACCGTTTCCCCCCGACTGGAGTGCGGTGGCAGGATCTTGGTTCACGGCAACCTCCACCTCCCAGGTTCAAGCGATTCTCCTGCCTCAGTCTCCTGAGTAGCTGGGACTACAGGTGAGCATCACCATGCCTGGCTAATTTCTGTTTTTTTAGTAAAGACAGGCCTGATCTCGAATTCCTGACTTCGAGATCCACCCACCTTGGTCTTTGACAGTGCTGGGATTACAGGCGTGAGCCCAACATTTTTTATAGAGCTCAATCTCCAGTCCCCACTTCCCCTTCCTGGAATTCAATAGGTGGGACTGAAAACTCCAACCTTCCAGTCACTTTATTTTTGTGGTGGCCAGCCCTAACCTGTGGCTATCAAGGGACCTCACCCTAAATAACCTCACTAACATAAAATGAGATGTGATAAAAGGTGGCTCACGCCTGCAATCCCAGCACTTTGGGAAGCTGAGGTAGGTGGATCATTTGAGGTTGGGAGTTCAAGACCAGCCTGGACAACAAGGTGAAACCCTGCCTCTACTAAAAATACAAAAATTAGCCAGGCATGGTGGCAGGCGGCTGCAGTCCCAGCTACTTTGGAGGCTGAGGCAGGAGAATCGCTTGAACCCAGGAGGTGGAGGTTGCAGTGGGCTGAGATGGTGCCACTGCACTCAAGCCTGTGGGACAGAGCGAGACTCTGTCTCGAAACAAACCAAACAAACAAACCAAAAAAAGTGGTGTTTAGACCGGTCCGGTGGCTCATGCCTGTAATCCCTGTACTTTGGGAGGCTGAGGTGGGCAGATCTTCTGAGTCAGGAGTTCAAGACCAGCCTGGCCAACATGGTGAAAACTCATCTCTACTAAAAATAAAAAAATTAGCCCAGCATGATGGCACATGCCTGTAGTCCCAGCTGCTCAGGAGACCGAGCAGGAGAATCACTTGAACCCAGGAGATGGAGGTTGCAATGAGCTGAGATCATACCACTGCACTTCAGCCTGGGTGACAGAACTAGAATCTGTCTCAAAACAAAAACAAAACAAAAAACCTTGAGAGGTGAGGCAGATGCATGAGAGAGTACCCTTTATCCAATATCATTACCAAGATTAACCCCTTAACCTTCTGCTCCAGAGGGAGATAATTTGTGGGACATGCAACATAGCTCTAAGGATTAGTTAATAGACAAAATTACAATAAATTTAGCTCAAATATCTTAATCTGAGAAGAGTTAAAGGTCTAAATCTGAGGAGATGGGCCCTTTCTGAGATTTTAAGCAACATCAAGACGTTGTTCTCCAGCTGAAGCACCACAACCGTGAAGACAAGTGGAGAGGCAGAAAACAAGAGTCAACTATTTTCTCTTCTCTCCCTGAATCACTATACCAAAAGGATGTTTTCAGTGATCAAGTATAGTAAACATATGAAGCACATAAACCAAAAAGGAATTTATTATTACAAAAAGTTTTGCAAGGTGATAGAATCTGAGTCTAAATAAGAACTGGGTTTCATTTAAACCCTTTGCTTCACCATCCTATTGGCATTCTTCCAGGGCCTTCTTGAAAATGACCACAGAATGGCTGCCACTGTTCTGGACATCACATCAACGGGCCCTCCCGAGCAAGAAGAATAAAGACAAACAGAAAAACTGACTTCATTCACATGCCTGTCTCATTTTATAAAGGAGGAAAACATTGGCCAGGTGCAGTGGCTCATGCCTGTAATCCCAGCACTTTGGGAGGCCAAGTCAGGCAGATCATGAGATCAGGAGATTGAGACCATCCTGGCTAACACGGTAAAACCCCGTCTCTACTAAAAATACAAAAGTAAAATTAGCCGGGTTTGGTGGCAGACACCTCTAGTCCCAGCTATTCAGGAGGCTGAGGTGGGAGAATGGTGTGAACCCAGGAGGTGGAGCTTGCAGTGAGCCAAGATCACACCACTGCACTCCAACCGAGGCAACAGAGCAAGACTCTGTGGGGAAAAAAAAAAAAAAAAGAAAGAGGAAAACATCTTGTCTTCCTTTAGATCATTCCTTAGGCAAAAATTAAAAATAAAAATGAGGTTGCTCATATTGGCTTAAGCCAATCATAGTGGATCTTCCAGCATAGTGGTACATTGCCACCTGATTAGAATGGAATTTACTTATCAGGTAATGAGGGGTGGCAGGTATTATGTTGATGCAGGTCTCTGAAGAGGTACTTCCTTGCCAGCTGCTGGAGACATAGAGATCAACCAGACATGGGCTCTGCCCTGGAGATGCCGATCACCCGGATAGAGAGATGAGAGTGCAGTGCTTGGGTCATGGTAGACTTGGGGTATATAATGATAGACAGCTGCCTGGTTCATTATGGGATCACCCAAAAGGAACAACTAACTCAGACTGACAGGGTCTAGGATTACTTCCTGGAGCAGGTAACACCTGAGCTGAGTTTAAAGGCCTGGGTAAAGGAGAAAAAAATAATTCAATCTAGGCAGAAGGGAGTGAAAGCACACAGGAAAAAAGATAAGACATAGCAGGCTATCTTTTGTTGTTAGAGCATAGATGGAGGCAGACAGGCAGACCGCAATACACATTGAGTGTGCAGCAAGAAGCAGAGGCCATCTCTTGGAGCATCTTGAATCTACAAGAAAAACTTGGAATTCTCTTTAAGGACACAAAAAGTCACATAAGTAGGAAAGGGACTCACTTATCAGGTGTGTACTTCAGAAAAATATTGCTCTAGAGTCCTGCAAAGGGATGGCTTTGAGAATGTTTCTGATTAGAGGCAGAGGCTGTAGAGTGGAGAATGTTGCTGGAGATCAAGGTGAACTTGTTGAAGACTTACTCAGGGAGAAATAGTGTGACATAGAAGAGGTGTGGTTTAGGGAGAGATTGTCCAGGCTTAGTAGATGAGCCTTGAAGACTGGATGGCTATGGAGAGTGAGGAAGAATGAGTGCTCTTTATAAATCCCACATTCCTTAAGTTGTGATTGCTTTATTGTAACTCATCTGCTATGATGTGAATGTTTGTTTCTCCCCTCCCCAGTATGGAGCATAGATGGAGCCTCAAACCAGTATGGAGCTTCCCCCAATATACAGAGGGGAGAAACAAATGTTAGTATGGGAAATTCTAATCTCCAAGGTGATGGTATTAAAAGGTGGGGGTTTTAGATTATGATTGTTCTGCCCTCATAAGTAGGATGAGTGCCTTATAAGAGTCTTATAGGCACTTGTCTTTCCCTTTTACCTTGTGAGGACTGATAGAAAGCACTGTCTGTGAGTAATGGCCCGCACCAGATGTTGAATCTGCTAGCACCTTGATCTTGGACTTTACAGCCCCCAGAACTGTGATCAATAAATTTATGGTGTGTGTGTGTGTGTGTGTGTGTGTTGAGACAGAGCATCACTCATCACCCATGCTGGAGTGCAGTGGCATGATCTCAGTCCATTGCAACCTCCATCTCCAGGGTTCAACCAATTCCCTTACCTCAGCCTCCCCAGTAGCTAGAACTACAGGTGCACCACCATGTCCTGCTAATTTTTACATTTTTTGGTAGAGACGGAGTTTCACCATGTTAGCCAGGCTGATCTCAAACTTGTAACCTCAGGTGATTCACCCACCTCAGCCTCTCAAAGTGCTGAGATTACATATCAGGGGAACCTGCCCCCGATAATTCATGTAGGTTCTTTTTTATTTCCCTAAGTGTCAGCCAGTCTGAGAAATAAAGGGAAAGAATACAAAAGAGAGAAATTTTAAAGCTGGGTGCCCAGGGGAGACATCACATGTTGGCAGGTTCCATGATGCCCCACAAGCCACAAAACCAGCAAGTTTTTATTAGTGATTTTCAAAAGGGGAGGGAGTGTATGAATAGAGTGTGGGTCACAGAGATCACATGCTTCACAAATTAATAAAATATCACAAGGCAAATGGAGGCAGAGCGAGATCATAGGACTGGGGCAAAATTAAAGTTGCTAATGAAGTTTTGGGCATGCATTGTCATTGATAACATCTTATCAGGAGACAGGGTTTGAGAACAGACAACTGGTCTGACCAAAATTTATTAGGCGAGAATTTCCTC